ACCAAACAAAGACAACAACAACAATCAGGCACAACAGCCTTCTCGCCCATCTTCAGATTGGAGGGCGAATGAGGGGGAGGATTCCGCCATCTTGCCACTGTCTTTGTCGATGACCCGTCGCTTGACCTGCGTAGCAATGGCCGTGAACATGGCCTCTACACCCTCTCCGCTGGAAGCCGATGTTTCAAAGTAGTCCATGTCCAGTGCTTCGGCCAGATCGCGACCTTGCCTGTGCAGACCGTAGGTAAGCACGTATGGCCACCACGTCACGAAATATCGGAACTGTACCTGGTGGTCACCACTCTCTTGTCTTTCTGGTCACACTTGTTGGCAACCAGTATGCGATTGGTTCCTGGTGGTGCGTTGCGTTCCAGGTTGCGATACCACGTCTTCACGCTTGTGAACGAATCGGCACTCTAGTAGGGGAACGAGAAAGCAACCAACCTTTTAGCAGGGCGTAAACCGCAGCCGCGCCAAGCTGGCAAGGCGAGGCAAACATACGGTGCAGTCGTAGACGAGGATAACGCCGTCTGCAGTTCGGTAGTACGATGTCGTGATCGCGCGGAACCGCTCGTGCCCCGCTACAAAAATGCCACGTAAAATATTCATGTTTGATTTAAAATGTAAAAAAACAAAAACAAACAAAAAATACACTCACACGAGTACCTGTGTCCCAGATTTGAAATAGGTAGTCCACTTGATCGATGGTCAGCGTCTTGAGGAGGTAGTCCACTCCGATCGTGGCGCGCATGTTGGGATTGAAAGCGTTTCGGCAGAATCGCAGCAGAAGCGAGCTCTTGCCTACGTGCATGTCGCCAATCACAAGGATCTTGAGCGCTTTTTGCTTGACTCCATCCGTTCGAAAGGAAACATCTGCCATCTGTGCGTATGTCGCGGGTCAGGTGCGCGTCTTGTGTCTGCCCGAAGCGACAGAAGCTTCACGTCCGGAGTCACCCTTGGAATGCATGCAATTTTTCACGTTTCCGCAGGAAAAAGAATGGAAAAGGCAGAGGACAAAGGAAAAGCAACAAAAGCTCGCCACTGCAAACATCGATCAAAGATGGCGGCGATGGCGGCAGGAGGTGGCGCACCGGGAGGCAAGAGGGCGAATGCCAGACTGCCACCAGAGGTGGGAAGGATCGTCTTCGTCAAGAATCTCCCCTTCAAGATCACACCGGACGAAATGTACGACATCTTCGGCAAATTCGGCGCCATTCGACAGATCAGACTGTACGTCGCCCCTTCCCCTTCCCCCCACCACTGTTCTCTCATCATTTGCATGCAGGGGCACGAACAACAAGGAGACGAGAGGAACAGCGTTCGTTGTGTACGAGGACATCTTCGACGCCAAAAATGCCGTGGATCATCTTTCGGGATTCAACATCGGCGGTCGGTACCTCATTGTGCTCTACCATCAGCAAGCCAGAGCTACCAAGAAGATGGACCAGAAAAAGAAGAAGGAGGAGATCGACGAGCTCAAGAACAAATATGGTGTGGAGTAAGGATAGCTGGATGTAAATAAATAACATATCCTTTCAGCCCAGAGATGCATGTCACAAAAAAAAAGTTGTGTTACTAGCCTTAACACGATGTGAGTTGAAGACCGGAGTCTTTTCCCGTCCTTATGCAGGGAGATGCTAACCTTCTCTCGGCTCAACCAGCACATCCCTACCTCTGCACCTCGCCATCCTTTTGTTTGCGTCTTCTTGAGCACATCACAGAATTGTGGGACCGAACGCCGTGTCCTTTGCACACAAAGGCAAGATAAATAAAATGAAATAAAAATAAAAAGGCAACCAACATGAAGCGGGTGAGCAGCTGGCGCGTGGGTCTGCCCCGAGCAACAGCCTTGGGCGCTGGGCGCCACACAACGGCCGCACCGCTCCGCATGACCACACTTCCTCCTCGCCCCCAGTTCCGGTGCGGCACTGCGTCTCGATTTTTTGCATCTCGCATCGAATCTTCTGCACCGGAGGCGAGGGCTTCTGCAGACGGAGCTGCTCCGTCTACCCCGCCAGTTGAGCGCCTGGGGCTTCTGAGTGGATCTGCGCTGCACGAGAGGGCAACATTTGGTGGGCGCGACGTGGCTCTCCTTGCGGACACCTACGGTGCCATTGGTGTGTTCGACGCCGTTGGCGGCTGGCACGGTGCCGGCGGCAGCGAGTTTGCGCGATTGCTCGAACGACACGTCCAACGTTCCCTTGCATCAATCGATTTGGTGAAGCAGGGTACCTTGGCGTCTCAAGTGCCCCACTGCAGTCTTCTCGAGCCAGCGCTCCAGTGCCTGATCATTTTCGTCTGCAGAGATAATGACGTCCACAACCAAGTCTGAAGATGACACTGATGACGTCGAAGAGGCTGAGCAGGCAGACGACGATCTGGTACACTTTATGGCACATTTCTCACGCTCTAAGGATGTTCACGTGACTCTTCGAATGTAGGATGATATCCTCTACAAGCCGGGAAGTGAAGAAGAGAGATTCAAGGAGGAGAGCGATGCGATGGAAGAAGAACTACAAGGCGTGTATAGCCAAGTTCAAGCGCGAAAGAGCTCTTCTACTGCGGCGGCACGGAAGAGGCTGCTCACACGTTACTCAGTACGCTGCCAAGGTTTAGCGGATTGTTTGTGGTCATCACTGGCTAACGCAGTGTATCAAATGGCGGTTGGTTCAGGTGGAGCAGCTTCTGCCCAGCGAAATCCTCATGCGGGCCAGGAACGAGCTGTTGGACAAAA